TTAAACCCAAGGGAAAAAAAGTTCTGGTTTCATTTTTATCTCCATGTTGAAAATTTTCTGTACTAATTTATCAAAGAATGAAATAAGATTGGTTTGGCATGATCTGTTTTTAACAAACCCATGCTGGCTTATTACTTTATTTACTTTTAGTTGTTTGCAGATCTGCTCCTTGATTATTCTTTCCAGGATTTTTCCAGGTATTGGTGTTAGACTGATTGGTCTGTGGTTTTCTGAGTCTGTTTTTTCCCCCCTTTCTTGAAGATGGAAACCACATCAGCCCTTCTCCAAACTCAGGTACTTCCCCAGTGCTGTAGGATTTTTGAAAGATGTGGTACAATGACATCTGCCAGCTCCTTCAGAACTCTGGGATCTAATCTGTCAGGTCCTGGTGATTTATATTCAGGGTCAGATATGTGTTCTCTTACCATTTTCTTATTTTAATTTTTATTTCTACTTTGTCTTTTACAGTAGGTTTTTTTTGTGTGTATGTTGGGTTATAATTTCTTTTTGCGTGAACGAGTTAAGCAGCTCTGCTTTCTCCCGACTGCCTGTTACTTCCTTGCCATCTTCTCTCTTTGGTGGACCCACTGTTTCTTTGACTTTTTCATGTTATTAATATGTTGAAAGAAACTTTATTATCTTTGACTTTTGTTGCAAGTCTTTGTTCATTCTGAGCCTTTGTTTTCCTGACTTAATATTTGCATGTTCGACCTCCCAGGCATGTTGTTGTGGGGAAAATAGGAGGAGGAGGAGGAGGAAGGAGTATTAAGTATGTTTGTCACTTTGAGTTATTTATAAAAATAATAAATGTGGGATAATTTTTTAATGCAAGTTTAGTGACTGCCTCATTTAGTGACCATTCAGTTATAGTGGTGATGAAAAAATAACTTTGCAACCAGTCCTTGCATTTACAATCTTTGCAGGACTGTAAAACAAAGGCAAGCTAAAGTAAGTCATAAATACAGTTGCGTTTTCACTTAGCAACCACTTTGCAATAATTAAGTCACAGTCCTAGTTGTCACTAAAGGAGGATTACCTATGTTTAAACCATATGTAAATATATTTACCTATATTTTTACTAAACCATAGATTCTCAACATAATCTTCCTATAAATTTATGAGGACAAGTATGTTAATTAAAACACTGTTCTCTTCTACAGCCTGACAGCTAAGAAGGGGATTATTACATTGGAATGAAGGATAATACAAAGAGTAACAAGACATGAAACTGCTATCCAGATAGCAGAAAATGAATAAAATGAATAGACATAATTGGAGAGTATTGTCTTGTAATAGTCAGCATTAGTGCCCATGGCAAACTAGAAGGTAAATATTCCCTTAAGAGTTATCAATTGCTGTATTGATTGGGTTAACCTTTATCTCGTACAATTAATTCTCTCATTTTAAAATGTGAGTTTATATATGAAATGGTCTGCTAGAATCAGTTTGGATTCTTTAGCCATTGTTCCATTAAGTGATCCTCAAACAAATCCTGATTGTTGGTTTCAGAAGAGGTATGAAGGAAAATAAGAATGAACTAAAACCATTGATTCATTTTCAAATTAATAACAATGCTGAAGCAATTGCACAAAAAGAACATGAAGACAAAATATGTAATTTAGCAGAAATTAATACTTCTGTAAGCATGCTTTCCCCTCAGGCTAGGAACAGGGAATAATGAAAATCTTGTATGGTTCTCTGTAAAGTCTCACATTCCCAAATAGGTTGTAAAAAGATGTTGATATTCCTAGGAAAGGTCTGGCTTCAATTTTCAGAGGACCAGGACAACAAAATTGCTTCCCATGTGGCCATTAACCTTGTGGTGCATCATACTACTGAAAAAAATTGAAATAGCCATGTTTTGGGCTATAGGGAAGTTATATACCAGTTCACTGTTGGAAGGTCATCAGTTGGTGGAATCATTGTCGAGATCACTTCATGATTGAGCATCTCTTGAAAACAACCATGTATTGGCCCCAGGCTGTAGTTATTCAGACAGGCAAAGGGGGAGGTTAGTCAAACGGAAGCAGAGAACTCAAGTCTGGGCACTAAAAGGATTGCTTTAAACACTCCTGCCTCTGCTCCCACAGACCATGTTGAACTTATGTCAATCCCTTTGTTAGTTTTCAGGTAGAAGATAGAAAGGAATGCATATGAGTGTCATGGCTCATAAGTCACATATAGCTTGAAGTGTAAGTTAATTACATCTGGAAAGAATTGGCCATGTTTAGGCAAAGGCTTAGAATGTCTCAATGACTGCTGGAGTTAACATCTCGTTACAACCCATACATGTATGCCTCAGGCTACATTATTCTTCTGGTTCCTTAATCATTTTCTTCATCTTATCTGTATTTCTGCCTTGTCCTTTGAACCCTGATTGGAATGCTCTATTGGTCTCCAGGAATTTTTCATCCCTACCGTCATCTTTAGCCATGGTGGTGCAGTAGTTAAAATGCAGTATTGCAAGCTAACTCTGCTGACTGCCAGGAGTTTGAGCCTGACTGGTTCAAGATTGACTCAGCCTTCCAACCTTCTGAGATCAGTAAAATGAGGACCAAGTTGTTGGGGGCAATATGCTGACATGTGTAAACCACTGAGAGAGGACTGTAAAGCACTATGAAGTGGTATTTACTAACAATGCTTGCCTTATCTTTTGAAACTAATTCACCATAAGAAATCTGCTTTAATTCAGACTGAATTTGGGTCTTACAAATAAATTGTGGTTCATTGTTTAATTAATTTACGATTTACCTGAATCTGATAGGCAATGAGAGACATTAGAAGTCCTTGCAAGATTAGTTATACTATGCAAGACAGAAAGATACAGTACAAGTTTGGTAGTTGGCAATTTGCTGCTACAGGGAATCAAAAGAAATGTACTGGACCAATGAGCTTGTGAGGCATATTGTCTGCCTTGAGTAAGGACGTGACAGAACTATTTCCAAGGGCTTACCAAGTACAGTGACAATTTCCCTTCCTGTTAAATTTAGGAAGGAATAATGACATTGCAAAGAACATCCCAACCCTATTACCATAGTCTGTCTGTCTTCAACTTTGAAGAAAGAATTTCAGAACTCTGAAGGCCTTAGTAGCTTTTTCACCCATTTTTCCAGTCCAAGGAAGAAAGAAAAGAAAATTCTGCAAATTCAGACTATGTAAATAGACTTGATTTCTTAAACCATGCTGTTAGATGATACACTGTGGGAGAGTGACTGAATCAAATGAGAACCTGTGAATGGAAATGACGGAAGCTCTGAGAATATCAGTTCAACCAACTCTGAATGTTATAGAAAACATTAAGTAATACTTTTGGATAAAGAAAATGCTTCTGCTGTATTGGCCCAGTGGACAATAGATTTATAAGTATAAAAAGTGGTGCAAGGAAACTTGGAAGGTAACAGTGTAACCTTCCATGCACAGATCTCATTTTGAAGGAAATAAATTTAGCACTGTTAACATAGATTTGAATTTAGTTTATCTCAGGTAATTTTTAAATAACGGTACTAGGCTTAATTCTTCACATGCATTTTTTTCACATGCAGGTAATTCTCAACTTATAACTAAAATGGGGATCAGAATTTCTATTGTTAAGTAAGTTAGTTAAGTGAGTTTCACCTGATTTTAAAACCTTTTAGTGGCAGTACTGATTCTGTAAAAGCTTTTCATATGACTGGAGCATTTCCCATTGAGAAAATCATCTACTAGTTCATAGTCAAGCAATTTGTATTTCTGAGATGCAAAAACTGCCTTTAAACAAAAGAAATTTTCTATCAAATGGATAGTTTATTTTTGTTAAACACAAAAATAAACAATACAATTATGAAGGAAATGTAGTAGTTAAGGTGCTAATGTAGCAACCAGAATACTTAAATTCTAATCCCACCTTAATATGAAAAGTCAGCTGGGTGACTGCATCAGTCACTCTTCCTCAGCTCAATCTATGTCACAAGATTGTTGTGAGGAAAATAGAATGTTTGCTGCCTTGAATTATGTAATAAAAAATAATTTTAAAAAAATCTAATGAATATATCAATCCATGTTCCTTCAGCTTGGTGGGAACTCCAAAGAAACAGCAGAGGATGGACTCCCTTGAGCTAGCAGATGCACAATACTTTTCTTTCTCGGTCATTAGGGCTAGGCCAAGATTCAGCTTCTGGGGGCTTTTGACCTCATTGGTCATCATTCATATAGTTGACCCATTGCCAAGGATACAGGATTCCTAGCAGAGAACACCTAGAGATAGTGTGATTATGTATCCCAATTAACTTGTGTACCCACATAACTAATTTTTTGCCAAACATATATGTAGATGCATCATTATTTCCCGTTATGCAGATGTGAGATTAGAGAACTCTTACTATCAATTGTTCGAGTAGCAACACAGCTAAAAATGTAAGAGAATTTATAATTCTGTAACGCAACTTGGAAAGCTTGCTAAGTAAAAAAATAATGGCAAAGAAATGGTCTCAACTGGCTGAGTAATCCCTTCTACATAGATATGTTATACGTGTGTAGAGAAAAAAGGGACCACGTCACTATCTCCACATCAGTCTTCCATAGTGCTAAATATAGACTTCAGCCTGTAATTATTTTATATAGCCATATCACACTGATGACTCATCTTCAGCTTACAAGACGTTACTACTCCAAGATACTTTTCACAATGAAACTATATATTCCTTACCTGTCCGTAAATTTTTGTTTCCTAAGTAAGGAACACTGCACTTCCCTGTGTTAAATTTCATTTTGATGCTTTCAATGTATTTCTCAAATCTGGTAATTTTGAATTGTATTTCAGTCTTCCATGGTACTGATTCTCCCTTTCAATTTTGTATCTGCAACTTTAATAATAATTCTGCCCCTTCATCCAAATCTTTAATCAAAAGACTGAAAAGTAGATCTAAAAATATTCCTTATGGACACTCATTTGATACTTGTCTCTTAACTAGTCAGGAAAGAGTTCTTGATAAACCATGCTGATTTCTGGTAATTAACATCTTTTCTTCCTTTTGCACAAGCATTACAAAAAAGCAATAAACGAATGAGTGGCTAGATGGATACTGGACTTTTTAGAAGAGGTCTAACAAATCAATTGAAATTGGTATAATTCTTTAGATGTTAACTGAGCTTCTATGTGACTAATTTTTATAGGCTCAAGCAATTTACACGAGAAGCCATGCTTTTGAGGATATTCTCATTTACTCCAAAAACAGAAATGTATGGTAAATTCAAATTTTATTTTTATACATAAGTGGATTCCAAATCTTCATTGAAATTCACAATTTGTTTAGTTTTGCTGTAAAGTTTTGTATAATCTAACATACTATATTCAGGATCTGTGTCAATCATGCAGCTGTCACTAGAAGAAGAAGAGAGACTGCAATGGCAAACTCCACAAGCCTGTGTTTGATGGCAATAGGTTCTCTCCTCGGAAGAACTGCTGCCAGAATCAAAGTAAAAATGCTGGAAGGGAGGCAGGCCTGGAATAGCTCTTGTCAGAAAATCTTTCTGCGGATAATGAACATTCCTCAAGTTTGTGGGATAAAATGTAGATGCACAGTTCCCTACCGGATGATTGCCTAGCAGCAAGCCAGAGCCTTGATTGTATAATGATTGAAACCCACTGTCAGGCTTAGTTTCAAGTGGGTTCTTGAGCACCAATGATTGCAAAGGTGGAGGCTGATGCAAATAATCTCCATCCATGGTGCTTCTTGGTGCTAACCAAGGATATTCTATTAATCTGCTCATTCTTTGCATTCTGTTGGCTGATTTATTCACAACACACTGAATACTGGAGGCCATGGAACCAGAAAAGTTGAAGGGGACTTTCTTCTGAATCTCCTTTGGTTGCAACCTCATTCTCCTTTCATAATTGTACTTGGGTCCCCTGGAAGATGGCTGCATTGTAGTAATGTGATTCACACTCAGATCCTGCAAGTTTTCTTGAAATTTTGTTTTGCTCGCAGAACTTACTTCGGGGCTTTGCTTTTGCTTCAGTGCTGAAAAATGTGGTTGCCTTGCTCCTTTGCTCAATGTGCTGAAACTGTGTTCATGTAGCCTCTCTCTAGTATCTAAAGTGCTGGATTGGGAAAACCAATGCTCTTCATTATACTTAGCACCTGAATGCTTCTTATTCACTAGTTTGCGCTTAGCAGTAATGTCTAATGATATGTTATCTTGAACTGTATGTTCTGAGTCATCCATAGACCTTTTTTCAGTAACTAATCCTGCTACATATTGTGAATTTGAGAGCTTAGAATTCTGCCATGGTTTCAGCTCCTGGCTAAGTGAAAAGGGTAGATTTTCTGTTGCCATTGAAGAAAAATTAGCTGTCGAGTGAGAAGGCAATAAAAAGGAGGTTGAAAGTAATGGAGAACCAGCAACACTGTGGTTATCCTCTATAGCCACCAGTTTCATCAACTTCTCCTTAACACTGTTCATTTGCTCTTGAAGATTTGCAATTGCTGTATCTTTCTGTTTTAAATAAACTATGATAAATATTTTGATTTAAATGCACCAAAACACAATTATAGTTCACATAAAATGAATGTTTCAAAAAATTAAGACAGGCCTGGTATGCAAAAGAATGAGCCAGCATAAATAATAAATGTTATACTTCAACAAAAATTATCATGTTGGCTAATAATGATACACAATAAATGTATGTATATAAATGTAACAAACAAGAAACACAGGATGAGAAAAACAGAATATTGCTTATCAATCTTATATTAAAGGCCTTTGACAAACAAAGCACTAACCTTGTGTGCACTATTTTGTTAATGAAATGCAACTATACACAAGATACAGTGGTACCTTGATTCTGGGAGGCAGGAGTAGTACCAAAAATGAGTACTAAACATTTTTTCCCATAAGTAATAATATAGTGAGTCACAAGGCAGCTGACATCAACAAGTTGTAACTTATGCGTTGAATACCAAACAAATAATTATTAGGACAAAATATTCCGTCAAAATGTATTGAATACCAAATTTGATGAGTTTCAAAGCAGTTGAGTACCAAGGTACCATGGCACTTGCTCATTTTGCATTTTAACATCCGTCTTCAAATATTTGGAATATACAGGAAAATGTATTCTTTTCATCTGAACCTAATCTGAAATGCCATAAAATGGACTAAACGACAAATCAAATGCTAAAATCTCCACTTAATATGTGGGGCTATGATTCTTCTTTATGAAGTGCTTCATTTATTTCATAAGCCACTTAAATTTGCTTGATTAAAATGACATAAGCGTTGATTATGTATTCAAAGACTTATCTACTCAATTGTCCCAAAGGTGTTTTTTTAAAGGCAACTGGACTTTGTTTTTCCTTGAAAACATTTCGCTTCTCATCCAAGACGCTCCTTCGGTTCAGAATTGAAACTGATGAAGCTTCTTGGATGAGAAGCAAAAGATCTTCAAGGAAAAATAAAAGTCCAGTTGCCTTTTGAAAAAGCATCTTT